TCCTTAATATGAAATAATGTTTCTTTGATTCATCTCTATAATTACCAATGTGTGTACGAAACTTTATTTGTTTCGTATCAAATCATCAAAGAAAATGAATCGTTTTTTATTCAGCTTGTGACGCATCATCAATATTCGATCTATGCAGCGTGCGTTAGGAATACTCCAGAAAGAAGCAATCTTTGCCTTGGAAATAATGAGTATTCTCTCTACAATCAATGACGTTTTTGAATGCTTCTAAGATTCGAACTGGAAAAGAGTTTCAGTGACATGTCACTCTGATATGTCACACCTTGGAGATATCATAACCCGTGACCTCAGTTCCTCTATATAAAGGGTTTGCTTCAACAAGGTTTCAAACACATCCAAGTCTCCAAGAAAATGGATAAAGGGAAGAAATTTGTGTCTTCAAGAATGTCCAACACTAAGGATGTTGCTAGACGTGAGCGAGAAAAGCTAAGACGAATCAGATATGCACAAGGTAATCCATGCCATGGAGAGAGTTCAAACGCTCAATTGGATCTTCCCACTGCTAAAAACTCTCCTCCAGCTCCTGCTCAGAATGAAGCCCCACCTCCAGTTACTCAACCTGATGCTTCTTCAACCAAGACTCTCATTGAGACCTACATCAACAACCCTCTGCAGTCGACCAAACAGTAATAACTTCTAACGAAAGTGTGCAAAGTAAAACTAAAAGACGAAACCTTATTCCGTTGTGCATCACTCCGAAAGGAGTAACTTTGAAAAATCGATTATAGTCTATTCACCCCCCCCCCCCCTCTCTAAACTTTCTTTCGACCCTACCGGGACCAACAAATACTATTAACAAGAACAAATACTTAAATGAATTGGTTGGTGATAATTAACTATGCATGAGCACCTTTTTTTTTTTTTTTTTTTTTTAAACACTTTTGCTAGCAACATTTTGTCTTGGCCCTTTTTAGACCACATTCGTGTTTTTTTGCCATATATTATGGTCAAGTGATATTAGTTTTACTTTAGGTTGTATAACTACAAATACTTGTACGAGTTGTATTGGTTAGTACCAATAAACTATGTATGAACAACTTTCTTATCATTTTTTTTTTGGGGACACTTTTTGCTAGTAACATTTTGTGTATGCCTTTTTTGGACCCTAATGGTGTTGTTTTCCATATATTCATTTACCTTTTTAATCGCGTTTATTTCAAGTTTTCATTTTTCATTTTTTTATTTTTTTTATTTTTTTTTATTTTTTTTTTGAAATGAATGACACCAATTTTTTGATTATTCATTCTTTGGATTCTTTGTTTTCTATTTTATATAAGTTTGAACTTCAAACTTAAAGGTATGATACTCCTTTTGTCCTAGAAATTACTAAATGAGGTAAGTCATAGATTTGTGTGCATCAACATAACTAGTCTAGATGCTTGTTTTCTATTTTTATAAATGTACAAGTAAGACTTAATGCCAAATGGGTCTTCTGAGTTGATTATGCCAAGTTTAGTCGTAAATCAGTAACTCTGAGAGTCAGAAGAGCTCATATGGCATTGTACAAATAAAGGAGCTCATATTCTTTGTTTTTCTTTATCTGATTTTTTTTTTATAAAAATTAAAGGATTTATCTTCTTAATACCGCTTCTATCATCACATATTTATTTTTCAACCCCTTGAATCTGAATAATATAATGCTAAGTATATACCTAACGAACCCATGTGTAAGCAAATGATTTCCATGTGATTGAGCGTAAAGGAAAATGTGATCCTTCGCCCTTCATTATTCAAATACTGCCCACTGAATCACTGAGTTAACTCCGTGTGAGCTACGTTTGTGCGGGCTGCGTGCATGATCCTCCTCCCTATCTATATATATGGATGTCACTAAGTTTCAATAACATACATCTATATTCATTTCACTATAATCTCCTTACTAGCTATACTTCACAAGCTAGAATGAGCAACTCCAGTAGGATTTTCATTTCGTTATGCAATATAATTATTCAACATTTATAGTTTATAATCTTGCTTTTGTTAAATTTAATGTTATTGAATATAATGCCCGCAGGTGAAAACAATGCCAACATGAACGACAACACGGCAACGCCCACTTAGCAATGGAGGCGTGCGCCGTAAAACGACATGCCTTTGTCGAACATCCTCAAAATCATGCGCAGTGCTATCCCAACTGGAAACATGCGGTCCAGAAATGCGTGACGGAGTTCATCCACTACGTCACCGCCAAGGCTAACGAGCGTTCCCAGCAAGAGCATCGCAAGACGGTCATCTAGGCGATGCGCGCCCTTGGCTTGGGAAACTACGCCGAGGTTCTCACCGACTTCGTAATCGGCTACCGTGAGCAGCAGGAGTATGGCCGCGCGACCACCCATCCCCTACCGCCGTTGCCACCTATCGACCACATATCGTTTAACAACTATGCGGTGCAGCAGGGTTTTCTAGTGCCAGAGTTTTCTCCTGGACTAATGAACTACGCCGACGGATTTGCTTCCTCCTTTTCTCCCTACGGCGGTGGCTATTTTATTAATCCCTCATACCCCACCAACTTTGACGGTTAAGATGCCATTTCCATCCATGCATGCATTGCATGGTGATGATGATGAATATTATATTGTGTACTTTTTCAACAGCTTCACCACTTCCCCTTCTAGGCTCATATTCACCCCTCTCATCTCCAGGTCCAAAGCCTTCACCGTGGGCACGATGGACTGCACCCACGTCACCGTGTCCACGGTCGCAAGGATTTTTCTATCAAGATCTTTAGGATCAACACACCCGGCGCTCACACCTCCCTTTTCTTGCTCACCCGACCACCCCGCTTGTAATCCAGTGACTTGTACGCGATCATGTGCTCCTCCACGTGCTCTTGTTTCATGATTGACAACCGCTCGTAGTCGTTGATTACGGGCTCGTACGAGGGATCCAGGAGAATGTTGAAGGATTTGAGGTGGCCGTTTGGTACGCTCATGCTGGGAAGTACATTGTACAGATATACCTTGAACCTCGCTACTCAGCTCCCTTCAAAATTTTCAACCTTCTTGCCCAGTCTAGCTCCTTCCCGCTACTAGATTCGTGTTTCTTACCTAATCAGATCATATCCATGTTAATAAAACCTTTATGCGCTATAATTTGAATGCGGAAGCACAATTTACAATGAATCGCATGTAAATCAAATCAATCAACTAAACAATGTTCATGATCATGGATTTTTAATTAAAACATTAATAAGGGTAAAATTTACTTGAATCCATTGGAGCAGTAATCTGTAGATGAATAAATCAAGAAAATATGTATACCTTAATAACCTCCTGATGATATTGGAGACTGGAAATTTAGAAACTAGAAAACTTCTTTGATCCCTAGAGTTTCCAAGGTATTTATAGATGTGATGAGAAACCATCTTTCAAGAGGAATGAGAAACTTCCTTTTAGGAATGTGAAACCTCCTTTTAGGAAACCTATAACCGTTTCCATTATACATCTTTTAACTCTTATAAACTTAAATTTTAACAGAATGAGAGGGATGGAACTTCACCCAGTAATTCTGCCTTTACACATCACTAATTATCACAGTGAGTCCTTATGGAATTACAACCTTTATTATATAAATCAATGTTAGGAAATAATCATTTCTAACAATCTCCCACTTGATTCATATAAGCGTGACACCTTTAAGAACACCTTAAGCATTAACATGATGCACCTTAAGTACACAACTCACGCACATTACGCACATAAACAAAACACCTTATGAACACAAATCACACACTTTAAATACACAAATCACACACCTTAAACACATAACAAAGCACCTTAAGAACACAAACCACACACCTAAGGTTTTAAAAATGGTTCACTTTAAGTTTCACACAACTGACGCACCTTAAGCATACAAATCACGCACCTTAAGGAGGAAAACAACACACATTAAGAAGAAAACTCACGCATATAAGTTTCAGCAACTACTCACATTAAGCACAAACCCACGCACCTTAAGCAAAAAACTCATGCACCTTAAGCACAAAACTCACGCAACTTAAGTTTCAACACTACTCACATTAAACACAAAACCCATGCACCTTAAGCACAAAGCTCACGCACCTTAAGCACAAGACTCATGCACTTTATATACAAAACTCACACACCTTACCTGTAACACCCCGTGTTACGTCCTTTAATTCCAGATTAATTATTTAATTAATTTCGTTAAAGAATAGTTAAAAAGGATTTAATCTGTATTAGTTTGTATCATATAGTGCAGAAAAATGAATTGACACTAATCAATTCAACTCAATATATAGCATACTTCACTATACTAGCCTGGTGCTAAATGTACTACTCCCTGCTTCTGTCTCATTTTACTGTCTTACTTTCCTTTTTAATTCGTCCCAAAATTTTGTCTTCTTTTCAAAATTATATTGAACATCACCATCATTCTACTTTTCCCAATTTACCCTTATAAGTTTTGACTACTTTGTTACTTTTATTTCAAGTGAGGCATTGATTTTTTTGCATTCAATTGATTTTAGCACCTCACCTGTTTTGTAGGACCTTTCATACTTTTTTACTCTCTAGTTTTTCTTTCCTTGTTTTCTCAACCTAGTCATCGTGAAGAATGGAGCAATGGTGACACCAGAACACAACAGAGTTGAAAAATCGGCCATAGAAGAAGATGAAGAAAACGGCGTTCTTGCCACTCCCGACTTCCAATCCAATGAAAAAAATGAAACAGTGGGGGTCATTGTCGGTCGATTCCTGTCCGAACGCTATTAGAGAATAAAGTTGATGCAGAAGATGAAGGAGGAAGATAGTTTAGGGGTGTTATTGTCCTTTCCTTCATTAGTTTGTTATAACTGTTTTTGCCACCACATCTTTCCCTTCATCACCTTTATATTCTCATTGTATCCTTTAGTTTTGAGTAATGAGAATAGTTTCAGTTCGAATGCATATTCTTTGTTCTTTCCTTCACTAACTCTCTCTGTCGCGCTTCATCATGGTATCAGAGCCATGACGAGGTATAACTATGCCGTCGTGGTGTCTGGCACCAGCGAATCGAGTCAGAGAACACATCCGACAGCGCCTGTCAATCACTCACCTGTTCAGACATCGCCAATGATCAATCTGCAGAGGAATTTAACTCTGCAGAGGAGTAGCAACTCGGAAGACATAGAGAATCCTCTCTTCCTTAATAGCAATGAAAATCCTAACACCATCCTTGTTAGTCCTCCACTAACAGGCAACGCCAACTATGGAACATGGAGCATCTCGATGCGTGTTTCCTTGGAAGTGAAAAACAAATGGAGTGTTGTGGACGGAAGTGTCACCTCACCAGATAGAACACAAGCTCAATATGCTGCGTGGAGGCGATGCAATCTTATGATCTGTTCGTGGATATTCAAATATTCCCATCCTTCCATTGCGCAGAGTATAATGTATATGAATAAAGCCAAGGAAGTGTGGAACGATTTGAAAAAGAGGTTTTCGCAGTGTGATCCACATCGGATCTCCTCCTTACAAAGTGAAATATATGCGTTGAAACAGGGAAACCTATCGGTGTATGACTACTACACAAAGTGCCGGACACTCTGGGAGCATATGAACGAGCTGAGGCCCATGCTGATTTGTAGATGCGATCCTCGATGCTCATGCAATCTTCTTGACAAAATCAGAAGTGAACGTGAGATAGATCAAATAATAAGATTCCTTCAAGGATTAAATGAAGAATATAACTCTCTGAAATCAGGTGTGTTAGTTCTCGATCCATTACCAAACATGCATAAAGTTTTTGTCATGGCTGAGAAATTTGAAAGGCAACTGAATATTGTGTATCTGAATCTGAACGGAATAGAGTTCAACCATGCTAATGCCATCCAAACTAGTTAAACCACTACAAATGATAAGGTTGCTGCTGTTAACTATTACAATAGCAGGAAGAACTTCAACGCCAATGGTGGAAACAAAGCTACAAAATGCACATTTTGTGGCATGACTGGACATACTGTAGAGAAATACTACAAAAAGCATGGTTATCCACCCGACTGGGTGCCAGGTTATAAATCTAAAGGAAAACAACAAGCAGTACATGTTGATATTTGGGGTCCATTCTTAGTTCAATCTTTTGGAGGGGAACGCTACTTTCTGACTATAGTGGATGATCACTCAAGATATATATGGCTTCACTTAATGAGAAACACATTTGAAACTCAAGTTCTGATCAGGCAGTTTTTAAAGTTTGTTCACACTCAATTTGGATTGCCTATTAAGACTATCAGCAGTGATAATGGTTTGGAATTCAACATGGTAGAATTTTTTGCTGAAAATGGTATAGTCCATCAAAAGTCTTGTGTGAACACACCATAGCAAAACGCAGTGGTTGAACGCAAACACCAACATGTGTTAAACGCAGCCAGAGCTCTACGTTTTCAGGCCAATCTCTCACTGGAATTCTGGGGTCGGTGTGTATTGCATGCTGCATTTCTCATCAATCGTCTCCCATCACCGGTCACCAAGTGGTTGAGTCCTTATCAAAGGTTATATGGGAAGGATCCAAACCTTAATAGCCTTAGAGTTTATTGGAGTACCTACAAATGTCAAAGGGTTATTTGTTGTATGATGTGCATGATAAATTAATGTTTATCTCACAAGACGTAGTGTTCTATGAGAAGGAACATCATACAACTGAGCTTGTTCATCCACTTCTTGGTCCTTCCTTGACTATCATTCTGTTGGGTTGAACTTCCCTCCTATGTGGTAAATAGCCCATGTTTAGACCAAGCCTTTTTGTATCCACTATTCTTTGTTAGACATCCTCTCATCTTGAGCCCTAATTATTATTATTATTATTATTATTATTATTATTATTATTATTATTATTATTATTATTATTATTATTATGTATAATATATAATTAGGGAATGTTTATGGAGATTAGGTGAGGACGGCAGCAAGCATTAGAAATTTGGAAATTTTGTTTGCCAAATTGTGATTAGAGATTATGGTGGCAGCATCTTTGCTAAATTGTGAAAGGTGGAACATTCCATATTTCTTGATTTGATAAAGTTGTGGAAAGGAAATAATTTTCCTTTCTTAGTACATCTACAATTATATATATGCATTAGAGATGGATGGAATGACTTGGCCACCGAGGCCCACGGTAGAGAGGCAGTAAGCATGGGTGAAACAATTGCTCTTTCTCCACCATTTTTCTTCGGCGTACGCAGGTAGTAGTGAAGATTATTTTGCCTAGTTTTTGTGGTGGGTTTGCCATGTTCTTGGGTGGTATCTTCATCAAATCTTTTTAAGAGGTCAGCTTGTTTGTTCTAGGCATCTTTTTGGGTATTCTCGTAATAATTGTATTCTTTTCACCTTGCTTATGGTGGTTGAATATTTTAAGTACGAGTTAGTATTCATTTTAGGCACGTGGAACATAATAGAAGTCTTTGGCCTAGAGTTGTTGTATTTGATGATTTTTGGATTTTTGGCTCATGTGGTAGCCTGAAACTTTGTACCCAAGATTTGTTATAGTGGAATATTTGGTTGTGGTTGTCTCGTGGTTTTTCCCAGATTTGGGATTTTCTACGTAAATCGTGTGTCTCTTGTGTTGACATTTATTTTGGGCTATTGTGTATTGTCTCGTATTTGTACACCGTGTTGGGTCTGTGATTTTCATTGTCACAGAAAGTGGGATTTTTCCCAACACATTCCTACATCTAACTGTGAAGATTTTAGCTTTGAGGGGTTTATTAGCAGTCCACTCTAGACACCCACTACGCCTTTGAATGTTGGCAGTCCATCCCATACAACTATTAAGCCTCTGCTACTAGCAGTCCTTCAATTACTGGACGTACAAATACTAATGATTCTCCGTTACCAAACTCTATGCATAATGAAGTTGGCAGCACTGATGAAGGCAACATAAGTATCCCTCAGTTTGATCCTCCTATACAACCTCGAAGGTCAAACAGAGAACGCAAAAACCGAGCAGGTTGCAGGACTACTACTGTGACGCAACTGTGAAAAATAGAACCTCACCTCACTCTCTCTTAAAGGTAGTGTCCTATGATGGTCTTGAGATCCCACGTAAAAAATTTTCTATGGAAGTTACTTCCATCAATGAACCAAGAACATACAACCAAGCCATTATATATGACTGCTAGAAAAAGGTCATGGATGCAGAAATTGATGCCTTCCAGAAGAATCAAACTTGGGAACTAACCAAGCTCCCTCCTGGTAAAACCCCTATAGGGTGCAAATGGATCTACAAAGTTAAGATAAAAGCATATGGAACTTTGGAAAGACACAAGGCAAGGCTTGTAGCGAAGGGTTACACACAACAACTCGGAATAGACTACCTTGAGCATTTTCTCCGGTGACAAGGATAACCACTATTCGTACGTTCTTTGGTGTGGTTGTTTTTAGAGCTTGGCACATTCACCAAATGGATATAAAAAATGCGTTCTTACACGGGGACCTAAATGAGGAAGTGTACATGGTATTTCTACCCGAATTTCAGAGTGAAAAACCAAACCAAGTTTGCAGATTATTGAGATCTTTGTATGGTCTCAAACAAGCAAGCTAACAATGGAATGCAAAATGAAGTGCTTCATTGCTTCACATTGGCTTCAAAAAATCAAAGCCTGGTCCTTATTTGTTCACTAGAGGAACCAACACCAACCTCATTGCTTTGCTTGTATATGTCGATGACATACTAGTTGCCAGCGCTAGAATGGACTTAATTCAAGAGCTAAAATTACTTATGGACAGTGCCTTCAAAATCAAAGATCTATAATCTTTAGGCTACTTCCTAGGAATTGAAGCAAAAGCGTCAGCAAAAGGTTTGAATATATGCCAACGTAAATATGCCTTGGATATACTGGAGGAAGCCGGATTTCTTGGGTGTAAACCTTCAAATACGCCAATGGTGCAAGGTTTAAAATTGACTCATGATGATTGTAAACCCCTTGACGATGCCAGCAGTTACAAGAGGTTGGTAGGCAGATTACTATATCTCACAACTACAAGACCTGACATTGCTTATGCCATTCAACAACTAAGTCAGTTTGTCGATGCTCCCACAAACAAACATCTATCTGTTGCACATCGTGTGTTGAGGTATATCAAAAGTTCACCCGGTCAAGTCCTTTTCTATCCCACCAACATGGATATGCAACTCAAATTATTATCATATTCAAACTGGACTACATGCTTTGAGACCCGCAAATCCATCACCAGTTATTGTGTGTGTCTAGGACCTGCATTGATTTCATGGAGGTCTAAAAAGCAGGCCACTGTGTCTAGATAGTCTTCTGAGGCCGAATATCGTGTGTTGGCTATAACTGTTTGTGAGGTTCAATGGCTTACATATTTACTCCAAGACTTACAGGTTGAGACAACCAGATCGGGAACTGTGTTCTGTGATAACAAGTCCGCAGTAACCATTGCTGAGAACCATGTATTCCACGAACGTACCAAACATATTGACATTGACTGCATATTATCCAAGAAAAGCTAATCCATTGTTTGATTAAACTTCTATATGTTTCCTCCTCAAATCAAGTGGCTGACGGGTTCACCAAGCTTCTCTCGGTCTCTCAGTTCCAGTATTTTATTTATAAGTTGGGCATCCAAGATTTGCATGCTCCAGCTTACGGGGGCTATTGGAGAATAAAGTTGACACAAAAGATGAAGAGGAAGATAGTTTAGGGGTGTTATTGTCATTTCCTACATTAATTTGTTATAACCGTTTTTGCTGCCACATCTTTCCCTTCATCACCTTTATATTCTCATTGAGTAATGAAAATAGTTTCAGTTCCAACACATACTACTCTTTGTTCTTTCATTCACTAACTCTCTCTCTCCCGCGCTTGATCAAACACCCAATCAACTTCAAAGTAATGCGGAATGTGCTTGCAGCGGTGTTGTGTCCAGTGCTAGGGGTATGTATTTTTTAGCTTCATTCTAATTGATTTCTTTTCGAATTTCCACTGAAGTCGAAGCAAAGAGGGTCATTGAAGAAGGCTCGTGGTCCTTTAACAACCAATCTTTGATCTTAAAGTCTTTGGAGGCCGGAAAATTACCGGCAGACGTCCCTCTAGACTCCATTGAATGATTGAGATGTGGGTTCAGGTCTTCAATATCCCCTATGGCTATGCTTCAGGCAAGGTTATGGAACATATTGGCAATTTTCTGGGTTCTTTTGTGAAATCTGATTCAAGAAATTTCAATGCATCTCGGAAATCTTTCTACAGAATTCGGGTTATTCTAGATCAAGAAACCTATTAAGCATAAGTTGAAATTTTAACATGAGAGATAAGACTTGGGTCTTGGTCAATTTCAAATACAAAAAGACTGCATGCATTCTGTTTCTATTGTGCGAATGTGCCTCATCGGACAAATTCCGCCGGAGAATTTCAAGTATGGTCCGGAACTCAGGGCTACCGAATCGAAACTGACAATGGTTGGTGCAAAATGGCTTTTAGCTAATGGTGAATTAAAGAAAGAAGTTGACGAAGATGATGGGAGTCAGGAAGGAAATCTTGAGCTTAAAAAAGAATTTTACATTAAAAAATAGAATTGAAAATTTGATTGAATGATGTATAGTCCATTTGAGTGATTGTAAAATATTAAGAAACAATGTTTGGTTTTCTTAATCAAACATTATAATTTAATTTAATTTAATATAATTGTCAAAGGTTTGATATTAAATTTTAAATTTTTAAATATTTTGATATATTTACAATATTAATCTGTTAAATGCTATGGATATTTATCTGTTAATTTCTCTGTTGCAAAGTGATGTAAAAATGGTGGTGCGTATTTAAATGTTTGAAAGTGAAGGATCGAGCACATTAGGACACATTTGGTTGGGCTCATGTATATATGTTATGACTTATGACCTCGGTTTGAGCAATTTAGTCAATTACAAATGTTTTTGTAAATTTAAAATTAGCGTCAATACATGAATAAAAATATTTACACTGAACAAGTAAAAGTGAGATAAACCGTTGAATTGGGAGAAAAGAAAATTAAAATAATTCCATGTTCTACAAGTTTAAATTAAAGTCATTCACTACGTAATTAAATAAAATATTCACTTTTCAAATGAAGAACAATGAGATGAAATGCCTACTTGAAGATCAATATAATATTGTGTTTTTTTACCTTTGAAAAAATTCATGTCTCATATTTTCTCTCTTTCCTATATATCTAATTATGTATGTATGTGAGTTAGATTGAGCATTTCTATTTAATGACTATTGGCACTAATAAGAAGAAAATGAAGAAGCAACTAAAATTAAAAAAACTAATGCGGAGAGGCCAGTGCTGCTTAATTAATTAGCTTGATCCTGAGAGATCCTTTT